GAGGAAAAAAAAAGGCGACAGATATTCTTAATAGACGCAAAAGAAGGAAACCGTTGAACTTACTTTTTTCAACTTTATGTCTTACTGGGTGGATTTCACCTCTGTTGTACACAAAGAGCAGCAAACTGGAGTGGTTTGATGATCTGACTGTACTTTGTCTGAAGATATGTTTCTTCGAACTTCCTCTCCAAGAAAATGCGGACTTGTAGAACTTTCGCCAATGTTGCATCCGTAAAAAGGCCGCTGGTTACCATGGAGAACAATAAATAATAACACAAGGAAGTAACACAAGATCGCACCACTTTCTGACCACTAATGACGTCATCAGACGTCTTATTTCACTTATTTTTCCAAATATAGATATTTCTAGAACTAACACAGATGTTTGAAAATGGCATGACAGGACGGAAAACGCGTGCACTGTAAGTACCTCCCGTTGTCCCATACAAAGCCTTAGAAAACTTTTCTAAGGCTTTGTATGGGCTTTTTTTCTGGAGTATCTGGTAGCTCTCCAGGTTGCTTCAATATGCTTACCGCAAGGCGTCATAATCTCGTCACTTTGTGACAGAAATGCCGTTTAACTGAAAGTGAACCAGAACACCAACAGACCTATACATGTCTCAATTTTCCGATGAGGGAATGTTAGGCATCAATGACACGTCATCGCTTGTCAAACTTTGTCAGTAAACATGACTTCCACTTACGTAATTGGCACAGGATATACTACTACCGATGAGGGAACAATAAATAAATCTGATCAGAAGTCTGTGGCAGGTCGAGTGATATTGAAACGCGTGGAAAATGCATTTTACATTTAAAAAACTTTATACTTGGAGGATTTCAACTGCTTTTTTTTTTTTTCTGGTATACCTTGCATAAACCTTGTACCCTGTTTCATCCACATTAATTCTTCGTAGTTGTACATTCACTGCGAACAAAGCTTTCCGGTTAATTTTTATCGTTTTATCGTGTTGAGATAGGCCGCTGTCCACTAGAATTTTCTACAACATTATATCGGTATGGAAACGCGGGCACAAACTCAGCCACAGGGAATCGAGTACCGAAGGCGATCGCTAACAAAAAGCGCGCGCTTGGCGCGTGCTTGGCAAAGTAATCATGCCACGACGATCTCGGGAAAGTACAATCGAAGAAAAACGCAGGATGTGAAATCAAAGGAGGAGACGTAAACGATTGTCAAGGACAGCTAGGGAGAGGGAGAACAGAGAAATGAGAAAACAAAAGGAAAGAGATGCATATTCTTGGCGCGAATGTATTATGGCAAATGGAAAGCATTAGTCGAACAGAATAAAAATACCCTGGACAAAACCAAGGTAGGTACTCGGTTAGCGTAAAAATAGAATAAAATAGGTATCAGAAAATGAGCAGTTGGTTACAAAAAACGATATCACCGAACTGAAGCTGAACGTAATCAAACTAGCATTGTCTTGCATTGTACAAAACGTCCTGGGGTTGACTTCAACATAAACTCATAGGGGGAGGGGAGAGTGTAGCCCTCAAAATTTGTCTCCTTTTTATGATGAAATGAAAAAAAAAACTACAATCATTTTCGTAAAATAAGGCAAAGAATCCCCATTTGAAATTGCCACATTCTGAAATGATCTAGCGGGAATTCATACATTTCTGTTTGCCAAGCAGACAGGCAAAACTTTCGTCTGAAAAGAACAGTCATTGAGCTTTGAGCATTTTCCCTTCCATCTTGCCATGTAGTGTTGATCTTGCCCTACCAAGGTTACCACAGATCAAAAAATGGCCAGGGATAGAAATTTCAAGGTCAGGGAAAAGTCAAGGAAATTAAAGTTAATACACCACTGAGTTTCATACCATGCTGGAAAAAATATTTCAGATGATCTCAGAAATTTTTTAATGAAGAAGAGGAGACTGGACATTTTGTATCCATTTCATCAGGGAAATTTTATTTTTATCATGGATAGGTCAGTACCTTAATAGTCAGGGAATTTTGGAAAGTTCTGTTTGTGGCAACCATGCCTACCCTCTGTGTATCTCTTGAAACGCTGCGTTTGAGTCTTTCTTGGAATTCTCTTTGATACCCTTAAAAATTTCAAGGGTGTGACAATTTTATCAAACGAATACTTTTAGACGTTATGATATTCTGTGACTTCTGTAAACACACGCTTGTATGCCTCTTGCGAGATCAGAATCTTTGGCTGTAAAACATTACTCCAGTAGATAATTACTGGAAATATATGAAAATCATATATGTGCACTGCGGTGAAGAAATGAGATGTAAGCGATCCTCGCAGCTATGAACACAACTGAACTAGTAGTTGAAATGAGACCTGAAAAAATTAAGGCCTGTACGGGCTTTGAACCCAGGACCTCTGAGAAACCGGTGCAGCGCTCTACCAACTGAGCTAACAAGCCAACTGGGAACTGGACACAATTTTGGATCCAAATAAACCTTCCAAGTGGTGAATAATTACTAGAAATATATGAAAATCATATATGTGCACTGCGGTGAAGAAATGAGATGTAAGCGATCCTCGCAGCTATGAACACTACTGACCTAGTAATTGAAATGAGACCTGAAAAAAAATTCAGGACCGTACGGGATTTGAACCCATGACCTCTGCGATGTTACTCCAGTGGTTTCGGCGCATTTTGTCCAGCAATGTTTTGTTTACTTTAGTCTTCATTTTACGTTTTGTGTCTTAATTGTGAAGCTGGTGCTTCTATTAAATCAAAAGTTTTCACCGCCCAAATAATTTGAAGTAAGTAAATTGTAACATTTTCATTTTTTTGAAAGATTTAATTTAATTTAACCAGGGTCCAAATTTGGGTCCTGGGTCGAGAACGATCAGTAGTCAGCGGTTTAGTTAGTAACCAGTTTTTTGCGGTCGAGATTAACGCCTTTCAGAAATATTTTTTTCTAATGATGAACGAACTCAATGTAATATTCTTTTGCTCATCTAGTTTAAGTCTGAGAACTCTATGTTCGATGAAGAGCAATTAGTCCTTTCTGATTCTTTTATTCTTTGTATTGTGTTTGTATTTTTATGTTGTGTCTGAGCAGATGAATTCGTTAGCGTTTTCCTTATCCGATCAAACTTTCGTTTGAAATGACGAGAAAAAATTGCAGATGCTATCTCATAGTTTCTAGATCTCTGTCGTGTCTGTTTGTGATTAATTCATTATTTCCACTCTATGTCTTAGTTACATTTTATTCTCTGTCAGTGCTAATTTTTCTGGTGTTATTCGTAACGTCATCAAGATTAAAGAGGTACTAATGAAGTAAATTTGTGTTTGTCAGTTGTTATGTATTGTTATCCAGTAACGTATTTCTATGTAAATATTGTTAAGCTTTTATTATCAAGCATGTGCTTTGCACCAGTTGATGATGATAAACACTGCGCAAATCTGAGGCAGACACATAGGGCTTTTGGATTTTTACCTCTGGTAAATGATCCCAAACAGCTTTACTCACTGCCTAGGATAAAGAAATCGAGGGAACTGAAACTGGTGCTTAGGTAGATTACTGCGTAGAAAAATGTATTAACATTTTTCGTACTGGCCCTGAGTGGGAAGATATCATAAGCAATTCAGCCTTAAAATCTCTACTTTTGATAAATTGTGGAAAGGACCAGTTGAGTGTTGTCTTAGGCACCCAGATGGTGGATGGTGGCGTGATACATGTAGCTCGTGTGATGGACCACAGAATGAGTGGCCAGATCCTTGGCAAGGGTCGTGGTGTCATTGTCTTTGGCTGAAAGAGCCTTTGGTATCCATGCAAGGGGTATAACTTAGTTTAGTGTAAATCAAATCTGTCAATCTGTAGCAAATGTGGCAATTTAATTGGCTATGCTACTTGCTATCTATTCTGTCAAAGTCATCAAGTAACCTAATAGTGTGCCATTGTAAGCAAACTAAAATGAAAACATGAATCTGTCTTTGCTAAATTGAAATGGTGATTAAATTTGTAATAAAACAAGTAGGTTGTTTTCTCTTGATTTCTTTGTGTGATGATTGATTTGGGCTTTGCCACTATCAACTAAGATATAATCACACAATGGAAATCTTAAGGTTGTCGTTATTGTCAAGTATATAGTAAGCTGAATTATATGTGTATCAGGAATGGCTTTAACTTTTGAGCAATTGGAGGATTGATGCACATATATGATGTTACCATTACGGACAATTTGCTTCCTTGTTTTATAAAACAAATAGATTCTATGTTGTCATGTGTCTGTTTATTTATAAATCACACAAGAGACTAAAGTGTGGTTAGAACATCAGTGATACAATTGGCTGCATGTGTCTGCTTCTTTCCATATTTTGGCAACATCTGCAATCTATTACTGAAGATGCCTAGCAACATATTTATTTGTTGACACACAACACATGACATCCCAGAGCAAATGCGTGCCAGAGCTTATCCTTGTTTTATCAGCATGGTAGAACAAGCGTGTTTATACTTCTCCTTGATGTTTCTCTTTTCCACTGCAGGCTTCCCCCCCCCTCCCCCACCCCCTTTCAATACTCCCCCTTGACATTTCATCAAGTTTTCAAAAGTGTGTACCCTGTCCATAACGAGGGTGAATTTTCTTGGCCATAAACACGCAACAATGACTCTGGCATGAATCTTAAACTCGCTTTACAATCAAACTCTAACATGGAGTACAAGATATGTGATGATCTTATCTCTCATTTGTCATCAGTGCCAGCTAAGAACTTCAAAAGGGTGATATGAAGTGATTATACATCAGTTCTTTGTGTTAAAGATGATGATATAATAAGTGATAAAGAACTCCTAGTACTTGACTTAGTTTGCTGATGTGATCTTCATAAATTTTGATCAATCTCATATTCTTGTTTTAATGAAAAATTAAGTCCCCCCTACATATAAGTGCATTTCATTGTCTCAATCTATGCAGTATTTGTATGTTCTCCAGCATAATTTGCCAAAGATAAAAATATAAACAACAATGATAAAATATTTTTTATTAATGTTCTTAAATCAGCAATTTAATGATGTAATACCTATGTACAACGCTTTAAATGAATCACGAACTGGATTTTAGGGTGAATTACCAATTACAAATGAACCTGAAATTTCTTGAGAAATATTTACAAGTGTTTCTTTAGGTCACTGCAACAGATCATGTGAAAGAGGAAAATAATTCAAAGAGTTACCTAATCTGCAAACACGTCTTCTTCTCAACAAGGTATTGCGATAATGCTGCAGCCCAGGAGTCAGCCATACAGAAAACAAAGAAAAATAATTCCCATTTTTTCCCTTTGCTGACTGCTGACTCTCATACTGCTAAACTATTTTGTTTGCCTGAGAAAGAATACTGGATTGCAGGTAAACTAGTATTTGCCAAGGATCTTGAACACGAGCAAGAAAATTTTAAGATAACTAAAATCATCAATCTTTTGCAAGTATATCTTAACATGGGTATACATAAATATTAAACTTAAAGGATTTTTGAGGATGAAATCAGAACCAAAAATCCTGCCTCATATGGAAATCATATCATTTTACTTATTGGGTAAAATTATTTACAAACTCTAAGATAATAATCATATGAACAAACTAGGTAAATTAACAAAAAATACTGCATATTACAATATGCAGTTACATTGAAAGCATGCCTATTGATTTAATCACTTGACCAATGAGTAATACAAAATGTTTTGATAACAATGGTAAAAATCTAGTAACTTTGTAAAAGAATTGTACAGGAACGTGTGGATTAAAACAGAACCTACAGAGTTTAATGTACAAAATTATTCAACAGAAATTTTGTATTTGTTACTCTCACTTAGCACTAACAGTTTCTCTTTTTTGTGGGGCACAAAATTGTGAAAGTGTTATCAATTTGCATGTGTTTATAAAATTATAATAGTAATCATGATAATCATCAACTTCCACACATGTGCACAAAGAGGTAACAAAGTGCCAAATGGTTATAAAATAAAGAGTCATTCACATGAAAGAATTGATTTGTTCATATGGACCAAGGCCCCTTAAACAATTGCCCCTTACCAGAAGGGCAGGTGACAGCTATTCCCTTACAATTTTATGGCCTTTGTCTTAACGAACATGCCTAACAAGAAGGGATATATCTTTTTAAAGGGATACACACTACTATTATAAATAAACAACTCTTCTTTGACCCTTCATTCCCAGATCTCATTGATAATTCTCCTTACTGTCTGCTATACAATTCTTATGATGTGAGTTTGGAGAATTTGGTATTGGATCCACTAAAAATCCCCCTAATATACATTGTTTGTTATACCCAATACTTGTATGACCGTGTGACATTGTCTTTAGTTTTATATTATAATGAGAAATTCTGCCTTTGTTCCTCATTAGAGTGGAGGGGGTCACATTTCTTTCAGTAATAATAGTGGAAATCTCCAGCAAATCCTGAGGAGCTGCATTGACTTTTTAAAAAGTTCTCCCTTTGACTGATGCTGCGTGACCATTCAGAGTAACCACTGTCACTATCTTGATAGGAAGGTAAGGCAATCTTTGACACAAAACCTCCTGGTACTGCTCTGGGAACCTTTGCAGGTGGGAAAGTAACAGGGGGAGACAGAGGGCGTGAACCATAAATCAGCTTTGACGAAACAGGTCTTGGTGGCCAAGATGATCTACGAAAAAAAAAGGAAATACTCGAAAGATCCATTGCTTTTTTGACAGCCGAGACAACTTTACATAAATCTTACTACTCAAAATTCCTGTTCATGTATTATGATAATCATCATGATCATTCACAAGTGATCTTCATCCATCGGTCACTTTTTTAGAATATCTTTCCATTGGGTATCTCAAAACCAAAAACCAGTTGAATTTGAAAGCATTCTAATGGTATGGTAACTTAAGGCTCATTTTCATAATGCAACTGATGATGAAGCAATTTACCTGTTGACGTCTGTATCATAACCATATTGGTCAGTGTGAAATCGGTAATCATTTCTCCACCAATAAACATCTTTTGGTGGCCTCCAGTATAGAGCTTTCCATTCCACGTATGACATTGGATGTGTTTGGGAAAGCTGCCATTTTTTGTAATTCTGAGAGGAAAATAATGGAGAACTGGGCTTTTTCCTGGAATAGGATAATGGGTAGTGCCCTGGATAAGATAAAGAAAAAAAAAATCTTAGAACAATTGTCTGGAAAGGGAGAAGAGTGAAATACAATGCAAAGGCTGACACTGATTTCCAACTTAAAACATTTTCATTTCAGTTGAAAAGGTCAACTCTGTTTCCCAGTTGACTTCAGACAAGTTAAACTTTTAAGGATGGTAAAAAGGTTATCTGGAAATCAAGTTATCTACTGAAGGCTGAAATCTTTAGGAATGTGGCTCAGCAAATTCAAGTTAAGAAACCAGTCTAGTTATCTGGGCCCAGTTGTTTGATGGCTGATTAGCACTGACCCAAGGTAAAGCTTTAGTCCTGGTTTCTTTGTTTCTTTGGGCAAAGGCCTTTTTGGGATAATTTTCTCTATTCTTTTTAAAGCATCCAGTTGTCAGATCATAGACAGAAAGAATTCTACTGAATTTCCTTTGAACGCTTTCAGATCTTAAATCAGATTTCACACCTACCCTGGGTTATCTTCACCTAGTTTTGAACAACCTGGCCCTAGGGATCAAGTTATCAAGTGTAAAGTGCTACAGTTTTAATTGTTTGTATATGTTGAATTTGTCAATAGTTACTTTTAGCAGGCACAAGTCATCAGGATTTAGATTTCTAGTAATCTTACATTGGAAAAAAAGGAAGATGCACTGACAGTATACATTAAAAAATTTCTGCATACACATTAGCAGAGAGCACATCAGTCAACCCCAAATATTGCAGGAAGTTGAAATGGTTATCATTAGCAAGTAATCAAATGAGATGACTGTGGAGTACTCACAAACATGTTGTAATTTCCACTGAATCAATGGTTCAAGAATAATATTATGCCTAACATGGTATACATGTTGTCTTTGCGAATAATTTCTCCTTACTTTCAAAATCTCCATGTTGTTTTCTCCCTTGTATAATGTGTTCCACTACAGGAGCTGGAGACAGTCTCTTCCCGGAGATTCCATGGGAGTTATACAGAGGCATTTCTCCTTCACTTCTCCCAATTCCAGACTCATCAGTATATGCTACTCCGCCACCTTTGTACCGACGTGATCTGCTGTAGGACTTGTATCCATGGTGACTGTCATTATCCCTTGTATAACTTCTGTATGTTGTGGACATGCCTGACTCAGTAACTAAAGGTGTTGACATTCTGACTGGGTCCCATACGGTTGAACCATTTAAACTCAAATCAGAGAGTGTTAAGCTTTGGGGATCAAATGAGAAGTTGCTTACACCTTTAGGTGGAGACAACCTATTAGCTCTTCTCAATGCCACTTTTGCCCTCATTATAATCACATCCTCGTCAAGTTCGTTAAGGTGAATAGATTTGTGGTAGTGGTCAGTACTGCTATAATCCATAGCTTGAGCACTTCTATTGGTAGTGGATGCATGCTGTCTTGATTGAAAGTCTCTGGTTGGCCTTGAATCCTGTCCATGTTTATCAAACTCTGATTCTTGGTCAATTTTTTCAACTTCTGCTCCACCACTCTCTACACTTGAGCTGTCCTTTTCATTACCCTTGGCATCCAAAACCTCTGCTTCAATTTCACCTGGGTCTGATATTACCCTAGGAGATGATTCTGTAAACTTTAATTCTGGAGAATCTGTGCTTTGATCAGTCATTTTTTCATCATCTGTAGAATCTAAATCATCAGCTAAGTCCTCCATTGTGATTTTTGGTGGCATCTCCTCATCTTCATCATCTTCATCATCATCATCATAATCATTGATGTGTTCCTCTTTCTTTTCCAAGTCCTCTTCTTCGTTGTCTTCCTTTGTGGAGAGAGCTGATACTTCTAGAGGACCACCATCATCGACCGAGTTATTAGGATCTTCTTTGTCTACAGAACATGAGAAAATTTGAAAGTAAATGTATTGAAGTGCCTCATTGTCTAAATGCTCTATTTCACAATCTACAGCAGAGCCCTAAAAACAGTTTTTTCCTCCAGTGACACAACTACACTTCTAAAAAAATTTCCAATGCTCCCACTCCACATTGAATCTACACCAAACTGTTAAGCTTTTCCCTCTATTCAAAGCTCTCTGGCTAAATTTTGATGGAATGGAAGAATATCCTCTAGTTTCTTAAGAATGTTCTTAAATATATGCTATTACAATTTTTAATGAACACCATAATGAATGCCATTAGTACTTTGGGTGCATTTACAGCAGTGAACTCAGCCAAAGGAGACTTTTGGTAGCTTGGTCATTAAAGCAGGTTCATTTCACAATAATTAACCTCGTTTAATGACGCTCTCAAGCGCTTTGGTTGGGGTTTCAACTCGAGTCCAAAGCACTACCAACTCTTTCATTTAAAGTATACCTATGTCTGACCTCCAACTAAAACACATCATCTAATATTAGCATTGACGAGGTTGGTTTTCTGAAAACGAGCTAAAAAGCTGTGTGATAAAATCTCAAAGGGAGTCTATTGAAAATTCTTTCAGAGGTTAGTACTGAACAACTTTTAGAGCCTGAAGTACGCTTCGTCGAATAGTCTTGCTCGATCAAGAGTCAACTGCTCCTTTTGAAATGAACTATTTATAGTGTAGTGCTGAATCTTACGATAAACATGAATAGAAGATTTCACAAACAATTCTTCTACAACAGTTGATCTGATTTTCAAGCAGGCTTAGAAATATACATTAAAATAAAAGCAGAAATTTACTGAAATTTTTTTACCTGATAGCGATGATTCGTTCTCAATTTCCATAGTACTATTTACATTAAACCCTAATTTCACTCGTTCTGCGAAAGAACTTGCTGTAACGTACTATAAAAACCAGGCCATTTCTCGATTAAAGTACACCAAAGTGGTATGATAAACTAATAATAAGGACTGTTGTGAAGTCAACACACACTCGAATGACTTTCAAGGAAAAATGCTATCAAGTACTCGAACATCAGTGACGCGAAACGTTTGTTGTCGTACCCAGACCCCAGACGTTTTTTTAAGTGAGTTTGAAAGAAACCCGATTTATATTACATAACCTACCATTAACAGATTTTCCTGCCTGCCCAATTGCTTTGATCGGAGACAGATCAGGAAGAATATCGCCTTTAATATCAATTCCAGAAGACTCAAGCACACCTGACGAACAGTCCATGGGGCTAAGGCTTTGTCTCGATAAATACCCCCTTCTTGCTGATGTGGGTGTTTCTTGTACAGTGGGTAAAGGTTTTATTGGAGACATGTTTGGACTAGACATGGTGCTAGCTGTGGAATGCCTTTGTCTCACAGCATGCCTTGGGGTTGATTGGTCAGATACAGGGCTTGAAGTCACCTAAAATTACAGTTTCAAATTAATTCTCAGAAGCAACTACACTGCGGTCCACCTTGTCGGCATGCTTTTAAGAATGATAAGAATTGATAACATGCAAATAAGTGGCCCCATACGCTGTAGTTTTACCAATTTACTTTCTGTTACACGAGCAGCTTCTAAATAAAACAATGCTTTAATCTTGTCTAGGATGCTAGACTCCAGCAGATTTCCTTCTCTGTGCATTTTGTCAAGTTTGCCCAACATTTACTGGTACCCATTCCCAAAAGGTTACCTCTCCCCCAGGTTGCATTTTTTCAGGTACACCCAGGACCTCTTCATCCACTGCATCAACCACTAAGCCCCCATCTTAATCATATGTAGCTTATTTTAATTATTTCAATACGAGTAAATCATTCATTGATCAGAACAATGGGTTATATTTGGACCAATCTTTAGGCTAAAATAACTTACAAAAGCAGGGCTTTTAGGACTCTTCAAGATGGATCTAAAACAAATGAAATAAGAAATTCATAACTTATGATTGTTGTCATTTCTTATATAATTATGAATACTAAACCAGAAGCCTAATCCACAGTCTTTCTTGGTACTGATAAATTACCTTATGAACAGGTTTCTTACAGTGGGGGAACTGTTGCTTAGTTACTTACTTTATATTGGTTGGCACTGTCAACTGATCCTTCTCTACTGCGGTTTTTGTATCTGTTGGTGTGAAAAGCTTCCGTCTCAATGACGATAATGAAGTGTCTTTACTACCATTGAGACCATCCTTATTGTAATAAGCTGCATCTGAAAAGAATGACCTTAATTGAGTATGTGACCAACCTAAACACAAGAGGAGCAATTTAAGAAATCCTGCAATTCAGTACCCTCATCAATGACACTCACACTGCAATTTGGAAATACATTGTGAAAATTTAGTCACCTTTGTAGCAGTTCTTTGGAACGTCTTGCGATGCTACTTCCATTGAAAGAAGCTACTTTTGGAAGGAGCATTTTGTGACACCCGAAAGAATGGCTGAGAAACCCAGAGACAATTTGGTTCAAAATATTTCACTTACCAATGTGATTTTGTAGGTCGAAGTCTGGTGGTAAAGAAAGCTTTGTTTGACTGCTTGCTGAAACAATAAAAACTAATTTGAAAATGTTATTTAAATTTAAGAGACCGCTGCTTCTCAGTTTGAAGTTAATTTAGGTATTTCTCTTCATTTTCAAGATTTTTGAGTCCTGTTGCTCAAATCCAACCTACACAAAGAAATGCAGTGATTAAAAAGAGGATAAAATTATTTTTCTTACCATCAGCCTTTGCTTTGCTATTTGATGACATTGGTGATGAATAGGACGATTCTACTGAACTTAAAGCCTCAATGTCTAAAAGCAAAGTTAAGAAGAAGGTTCCATTATCACAGGTACTCTAATTTTCCTACATAGGATGGAATTATTTTCACAAGATAATTTGTAATATTTCAATAGGCTGATTATTTCTTCAATCAGCTAACAATAAAAATCTAATTTGAAATTAAGTGCATTATGTGTTTTGACAATGTAAATTATAGTCTTTGATGATTCTTAATAACTGCTTTGTAAGCAATCTACGGATCAATATCAGTATCTGGGCAACTGCCCACCTATCCCTCCCCTAACCCGACAACAGTCAATTGATAACAAGTTAGGGTGAATGTTGGGTTAGGGGAATGGTAGGTGGGCAGTTGTCCAGATACTGATATTGATCCCAATCTACTGCAAAATGTGTGAAACTAAATGACACTAAAGAATGATCATATACAGTGATGCACCATTGTCAAGGTTACCATTTGAATGGGGTTTTAGTCTTCACTAGGAGGCACGGTGGCCTCATGGTTAGTGCACTCGACTCCGGATCAAGTGGTCTGGGTTTGAGCCCTGGCTGGAGTCATTGTGTTGTGTTCTTAGGCAAGACACTTTACTCTCACAGTGCTTCTCTTCACCCAGGTGTACAAATGGGTACCAGCAAATATGCTGAGGGTAACCCTGCAATGGACTAGCGTTCCATCCAGGGGGGAGTAGCAATACTCCTAGCCATTTCATGCTGATGAAACTGGAGCTCAGCGCTGGCCCCATGGGCCACTTGGGCCTGTAAACTAAGGGCTTTACTTTTTAGTCTTCACTGATAAATTTAAATGCCAAGGAATACTCACATGCAGTTGCAGGTGGCAGAGGAGAGAACTTCACATGTTTGGCTTCATGGTTTGGTGTCCATGGAGATGGAACAATAAAGTTTTGAGAGAAATACTAAAACATGAAAAAAAAAAAAAAAGAAAAGAATGAAGGACATAACTTGATTACAAGACTTGCATAGTGGCCAGAGCTAAAAATGTTGCAATGTGGTTTCTGTAGCGTAAAACAACCTCTTAGTATTGCCAGTACTACCTATCTACTTTTTCTTCACAGGTTACACTTCCAAACAACCCCTAATATCATTTTGCTAAGTTTCCCTTTGATTTTGCCATTTGCACGTACGTATCTCTGAGTGGAAAGGGACAGACGAAGAACATGACACTAGTCATTGATAGAAACATTTCAATCCATAGCCTAGCATGCTATGGCACCTCTTATAGCATTGCCCTTGTTCAGCTTTAACCCTGTGATATAATATTACTTGAATGTAAATCAGTAGTAGTGTGTAAACCAACCTCATCTATTTTTTCTTGAGCAGCGATTTCATCTTCTTCCCTACATTAATAACATGAGACATGAAAAAAAAATTTTTTTAACTAAATCTTTTGAAAATAAGGATCCATAACTTATAGCAGTGGCTCAGAAGACAAGGTTTTGATTTTTATCATATCTCTAATGGTGTCTGAGAGGTTTGGAAAATGATTTCTAATCATACAGAACAGCAACTAAAAGACAATTGAGGCAAAACCCATCAATTTTGAATTTTTGTTCAGTTGTTAGGACATCTTGACATAGTTTAATTGCATCTTTCATTTTCCTGCAATTTGATCGGTTACTTTGAACAAGCCTTGAAATCTGATTGGTTGTTTTGTTTTTAGTGACTAGCCTCTCATTGGCGGGAAAAAGTTGCGATTTAAAGCAAAAATTGGTGCGATTTGTGAATAAATCACACCAATTAGAACCAATCAGATTACAGAGACCACCAGTGATTTCAAAATGGGTGTAATAAATGTAGAAACCACCATTGCTGACTTGTTGAATACAATAATATTATTTGTTAAACGAGGTGTAACTAACCTTTCAAATGTGGTGCTGTATTCTTGATCTGGAAATTCTTCAATATCAGCAGGATTCTGAATAATGAATGATTTGCCAACATTTTGATGAAATCAATACAGTACCAAAAAAAACTCTAAATATGTTCAGTAAACATATAAATTTTATTAAGTCTTAAACTTTAATTTTATTGACTGAAAATGTTGCATCTTAAGAGTATCCTCAAAAACTAAAATGACATGGAAAGGAATTTCTTAAAAACGAGATCTCGTTTACTTTAATTCACTTAAGGCTTGATTTTATCCTGAGAGTTTGTAGGATGTAAGGTAATCGAAGCAATAGGCTCAAGGATAAAACAATTAGAAAAACGTGCTACTGCATGATCGATAAAAACACCGTCGGCGTTCTTGTGGTCTAAAGTCAATTTTCCTGACACTACTCAAGCTATATTATCATATAAAGAGAATTACTTCTATATTCTAAAAGGATCACAAAGGATCAAAGTCTTGGAGGCTCGTAAATTATTTTTCTTTCATCCAGTCACTTACCAACCGTGAAATTTGCCCGATTGACCATCGAAAACTACGTCGTTTCTGCGACAGACAAAAAGTAATTTTAACAACAGAGTATTGATAGCAACAGCATAAACTTAAATATTAAACTGTGTCGTCAAAAGTTCACTTAAAATCATACCTTTTGACTTCCCGGTGTTTCTTGAATGGAGAACATGGAAGGACTGAAGTCTGGGCAGTTTGTGCGATCTTCAATCCCGCTATCGAATGGATTTCGTGTAATTTCAGAACACGACAAAGAAGACATACTGTCTACCATTTTCACTCGTTTTTTAAAAAATCCTAGCACACGTAAAAAGAAAAGAAGAAAAAGTCTAATCCACGAAATTTTGAAATTCCAAAACTGGATTGTAAATGGAGAAATTTTGAATCTGGCGCCCAGCCGAAGTTGAAAAGGATTGTGCTGCTGAGGAGAATTTGACAACTGATCACGCGTAGGAAGCCTCTTCGGCTCTTCCCGTACTACTGTTACTTGTTATTACCCATATAGTTCCCTAAAAGAAAAATTTTGAAATTAAATTGCTGGAAGGACTTAAAAAAGAAGCTCCTAAGAGAGATGAATCCTATGATGATCTGTGAGAGGTAGTAGAGAGTTAGATTTCCGTCCATTTTCTCCAAAGAATCACTTGTGTAGAATTCCGCTGCCCAAAATCATACTATTGATTTAGTTCTAAAATGGCGGATAGCAAGGTCTCTTCGGCTCGGGAAGCAATGGAAGGTACTGATTGCAGCCTTTTAGGCGTGTATTTCAGTCATTTTTTTTTTATAGAAGAAATGCATCAGTTTCATCATTTAACAGGTCTTGTGATTGGCAGCTCATCGACTAGACGAAAATGACATTACAAAACCAATATTCCTATGTTGATTTCAAACTCGAAGGTCTTAGCTTCAACCTATAACCAAGAAGTGTTCTTTCTCTCTTAAGGTGTCTCATTTGTTTGCATGGTATCACGAAACCTATAATATTTTACTCGGTTTCAGCTTTAGTCGAGATCTCCAAGCTGCTTAACACTGGCCTTGACCCTGAATCTTTAGCGATCTGTGTAAAGTTGTGCGAAGCTGGAGTGAATCCCGAAGCATTGGCATCAGTTGTGCAAGAGTTACGAAGAGAAGCGGCGTCCCTACAGGTACGAGAAACAACTGATGCCTTCATCTCTGTCGTAAGCTTTTGACGGGATTGTTTCTCTTGTCCCCATTTAGCTATTTAGCCATAAAATAATCCCAGAACTCAATATGACTTAAAAATAATTTATTAACAAGGATGAGGCTCAGGGATTTCTTATCTTAGGTTGTATGGTCAAGATTTGATGGTCAAATTATTGGGTGCAATAGTCCCACAAGATTAAGTATTATGAGAATTTGTTCTAATAACATTCATGTGATTTCAGACACAGGATGTTGGAGAGAGGTGAAATGTGACATTCACACGATTTCAAGAAAATGAACGGAATCAAGGATTGATATATAGTTATGTTGTAAGGGGTCACATTTGGGAACCAGCTTTTCTGAGCCAGCTTTTCAATGTCAAGGGACAGTACTTTGTATAGATGCCATCAAGGCTGCTTGTTAAAATATCCAGAACATGTTCATTTTTTTCCTTAAACACCAGTCATTTATAGTAATAACTCCTATGAGTAAAGGGAGGCTTTTCTTACTTAAACAGTCCTCCATGCTAGAATTGTTAACCCTTTAACTCCCATGAGTGACCTAGACAGAATTTCCCCTAACCATATCAATACAATATCAACCAGAAAAATGATGAGAATAAAGAAAAATATCAATTTGGGGATAACTAGTTGATCCAATGCTCAATTCTCTGAACTAACATCATAAGAATTGTGTGGTTGACAGTTAGGAGAATTACAAATTTGGTGTGGGAGTTAAAGGGTTAAAAGAGTCAAAGAAGAACTTGTGGTTTTGGTGTCAGCATCAAATAGTATTTGTATATATCAAACTTTGTTGTCACTTCAAGACTTCTGCCCTTCCAGAGAGAATCTTTGTGTGTAGGCTCAAACCATGATTGCCATTGTACATTGGGCATTGAGGTTTGGTCTCACTGAAGTACTAAGGTAATGGTTAAAATTGCATGCTGGGATTTGGAACTTAAGTGGGATGGAAGTCCATGGGAGAATTGCAATGTTCACCCACAAAAAGTGTAAAGAGCAAGGCTATCAATTCAATTGGATAAGAACTTTATAGGAGGGGGGGGGAGAGAGGAAATAGTCTAGATGCTAGAACACTTCATTTACAAATAAACAGAATGTTTGTATATGGAAACTGACTTTGATTCCTTTTATTTTCATTTGAAAGTGGTAAAAACAAAGCTTGTCTTCTTTATTCTGTGAAGAGTCATAAACAGTAATTAAAATAACCTTAAATTAAGACCTTCTTTTTACAGTTTTCACTGATTTTTTTCATCAACAGCTCAAAGTCAACAAAGGTAAAATTGAATAACCACAGTTTGTGAGTGAAATTAAGGCAGGTTTAAGTTAAAATCTATTTTAATATATGCTAAAGAAATGATTCTGGATACAAGCCTCAAAACTGGGATGAGTGTTGAGGTGTTTTGTCCAAGCAATAAATTAGATACTACCTGAAAAAGCCTGCAAGCAAGCCAAATGTCTCACCAGCACTTTTGAAACTAATAGACAAACAACTTGCCATAGTGTTTTTAAGCTTAACTCGTACAAAGGTCTTTGGTAACCTTCACATTCATACACTCTTTCCAAGCAAAAATATTTTTCTTCATAAGAATTCCACAAAAATGTTGCTGAAATTCTCTTTTCCAGTTCAACTGCAAAGATTCAACTCATTGAACATTTTCAAGAACAACAGCTATACCCTGACCACCTCCTATACATGCAGAACCAACAGCATACTTAGCACCAATTCGACGCAGCTCATGCACTAAGTGCCCTGTGATTCTTGCTCCTGAGGTGCCTACTGGGTGCCCTAAAGCAATTGCTCCACCATTCACATTTGTCTTGTTCATGTCCAGTTCAAGTTCCCTTTGAACTGCAAGAAACTGAGGAGCAAATGCTTCATTCACCTGTGAAGATAAGATTGGAAGAGATTGTGTTTAAGTTCATAATATTGTTTTCAACTTGTTCAAGTGGGTTGTGGATTATGCAAGAGAATTCATTTGGTTTTATTATTTGAGTTGATGATTTAAATAAGCCACCATAAAGAGTTTCTAAAGCTGATGTTTCCTATAATACTGACAAGGAGAATATGTCTAACAATTAAGAGTTTCTTAAGGTTGTGATCATTTTCTTAATTTGCATGACTTGAGTGTTTAATCCAGACATGATATTGGATGGAGAAATTAAATATTTATCACTCTAAGAGGTGTAAGGGTTTAAGATCCCAACAAGCAATCAAACAATCTTTGTAGCTAAGAAAAGATTTCGGGTTTTTTTAAGCCTTTATCAGAGTTATCTATACTTTTTCTGTACCTTAAAAATTAGTGTTAATTTTCTGTATGAATGTGTTACATACCTCAACCAGTGCCATGTCTTGCAGACTCTTTCCAGCTTTATTTAGAGCTGCTTTAATTGCTGGGACAGGACCTATTCCCATGATTGATGGCTCTACACCAGCCACAGAATATGAAGCAATTCTTGCGAGAGGAGTGAAGTTATGTTCCTTCAGGGCTTTCTCACTGACTAAAATGAGTGCTGCAGCCCCATCACATATGCCCTAACAACACAAACAGATGAAAATTTATCCTATCAACAACTGCTTGTAAACAGTTTCCATAACTACCTACTGGGGAAATTGACTAAGTATTAATAGTTTTCTGTAAAGAAATATTTTCAATGTTTTGTTGAGCTTGGGACCAAGAAGAGAACCTTAAACTTTGAAAGATTTCAAACCACAAACTTTCTGATTTCAAAGGTAAACAAAGCACCTGAACTATGGAGAACTTGTTGGTAAGCTGGGCTATACACTTTTTATTTTACACATGTTACATTTTTATATTGTTTATCTAAATGTTTGTCACAAATGGGGAAACTTTTTACAATAACGTCTTATTCCAGGATAAGAACAATCATGGTACCTAATCTTACCACAAAGGATATTTTTTAGAAAAAGTAAAATAATCAAGACAGTCTTTTTGTTCCAGTGGAAAACAACACACATGTATACATACAAACACAAAAGTACAGTGAAAGTAACTCACAGAAGCATTGGCAGCAGTAATTGTTCCATCTTTTTTAAACACTGGTGCTAACTTTGCCAGCTGCTCTATAGTACTGTCTGGCTTAGGATGTTCATCAACCTTAAATTCCTCTGGTCCCTTCCTGCCTTTCACAGTCACAGGAACAATTTCTTCAACAAATCGGCCATCTGCATGAGCTGAAAATGACCAAAACTAAAATTATGAATATTAACCAAACAGAAAAATTAAGTTACAACTACAAAATCAAGTAAAGAAAAGCAGTGACTTTGCTTCTCACCCTTTAACACACAGAAGTGATTAACATGTAACTTCTCCCCATAATATTCATACAATATCCAACAAACAGGGTATGAAAATACTCAGACTACCCAATTATTGGGTAGAAGTTGTTACCTTGATCTCACAACAAATTCTTGTAACTTATTTACAAGGAAATGTGTAGCAGCTGAAGGAGAGAATGAACAGTTGGATCTTGGGAGTTCAAGGGTATTTGTATCTGGAAGCTCTTAATGACTGTTCCAAGCTATCAGTTTGTCAAAAATTGTGAGTGGAAAAGTAACCCAAGCTGGGAAAAAGAAAATATGAGATACCCTCTAATAAGTTTGCTCCCCCACACTTTGCATTTTCCTGTCCAGGCCATGACTGAGAGCTGGGCACAGCTTGTTGATGAGTTTCAGCCTCATAGTTTTATTTACCTTCAGCCCATCTTTTCTGAGATAGCAGAGCAAACTCGTCACATTCTTGCCTTGTGATATTGTATTTTTCTGCAAGATTTTCTCCAGTGACACCCATAGGCATTTTAGCATGAAAATCGGTCAAACCTTGCCACAAAGTGTCCTCAAGCTAGAGAATGCAATGAAAGAATAAATTAGGCTTTAATGAAATTATTTTTTAACTTTAATTACTTGTACTACCTGGAAAATTAGTTTTAGTATGGTAATCACATTAAAAAAAAAACAGTACAAATTTGCAAAGTTGTAAATGAACAGATGAACACCACCATCTGAATATGCATTTTTGTCGAGGACACCATTCAGCTTTGAAGATCTGAATGATGAAAAAAGTATCGAGAGGAAAGCTCACCTTTAAGTCAAGTCCTAATTTTGTTCCAAATCTAGCATCTCTAAGGGCATATGGTGCTTGACTCATGTTCTCTGAGCCTCCACACAAAACAATGTCACTTTCACCCAGCTGAATCTCCTGTGCTGCTGTGACAACTGCCTGGAAACCTGAACCACAGAGTCTGTTCAAAGTCAAAGCTGGAGTCGTAACAGGGACATTGGCCTTCAGGGCAATATGTCTTGAGATATAGGCTGCATCTGATGCACTCTGTGAATGGGCATTAAAAGGTTAACCATTATGGGCTGTTGACCTGAGATTAGACTTACTATGACTTACTACTATCTGGTTGGTTGAGAGCATTCAATCAATATATGATAGCATGAGAAGTTGACCTGACAAATGCAATATCAGCATTAACCCAGAGAGAAACTCAAAATATCTGAATCTATTTTTTTCTAAGCACTGGTACATGCCAAAATAATTATTTTATAGTAATAAACTGTAATAAATCTTATTTCAGTAACGTTTTGAGCACTGGTTGTCAGACTGCATGTTGTGTGTATGTAGTAAGAAGTGTTCATTAAAAATAATTATATTTAGTTAATTTTAAAGAGATCTGAACAGAATCAATTCGTGGCGTAACTCCTCTTCACTCGCTTCAACTACAACTAGGGGACTTAACAGACCTGTCACGCGATAGGAAAACTGCCGACAAACTAACAGCCGATCGCAGTCTATCTGTTCTTATGAAAATAATTCAAGGGATATTACTGCATTCATCAGCTCATAGTCATTTCTGAATCTTGACATAAATTTAATAAAGTGAAATTATTATCAGGAATTACACGTCGCAAGTGTCCTTGTACAGATAGAGTACAAAGTCCATCATGACATGTAGTAAAAGGTCAGAAGAGTAGACAACTGAAAAGATAAATAAACTTAATCTATCGGCTCACTTCTACTACAACTTTTAATCTCCAAAATTACTTTCTGATGCGTGGCCTAATTGTACTTTTTTTAAAAATAAAATATCTGCTACCAAGTTCAAATGTTACCTGGATAACGTTACCAAACACGGATGAGTCCACAATCGCTGGATCAACTTTTCCTGCTTCCATCGCAGCAACAGCGGCATGTTGTCCCAGCACAGTTGCCGTTATACCCTTTAGTTTTCCTCCAAATGTGCCAAACGCGGTTCTCTTAGCCGCTACGATGTACACTGGACGTGCAAGACCAGCCATTTTTACAATTTGCGAGAGTAAAGTTCAGCAGATAAATTTCGCAAACTAATGGCTGAGTAACCAAGCTTTTACTGTGATGTGGGCAGGGGATGGGTGGGTAATGGGCTGGTCTCAGCACACGCAAGGTCATTATTGCGGAAATGTCGTCGTCATTCATACATTTTTTTTTCCTTCACCAAAATTTCTTAGATCATGAATGGATTTAGAGAAGTTTTGAAGGAGGCCTATTTTCTATATTTATGGAGTTTCTTCATTTTTTTTTCTTTCTTTCTTTCTTTCTTTCTTTATTCATTCATTTTTTAAGGTTGTGAGTCGTTTTTAGGATGAAATGTACTTTTCAACAAGGTTTAAGTTCCTTTTTAGAACATTCGCTTTTATTTGGTGAATATTTTTCAATCAATTTCTTGTAATTAAAACATTTTAAGACATAACTGTTATTTGATGTTCAGCTCTAGGGTTATTCAAGACATTTCTTTCACAAATCACCTTTAGGTAGCTATGCCTAACTGTAACTGTTAAGAACTAAGCTTGTTAAGGTCAAATAGAGGTTCTGTGACTCCATTCTCGGAATTAAAAAATGTCTCTAATAATGATGGTCTGTAGCAGGATACATGTTACAATTCTTGTTCTGTTCCTGGATACTACGCTTGTCTGTATTTACCATTTTAAAAAATAATACATTTTCATACAAAACAATGACATCAATGTATGGGTGTCTTATTATCTCCTTTGTTCTGTTCCCTTTGATTCACAATATTGGCTCCAAAATTACCATTCATTTCAATCACATCAATCTTATTGTGTTTCAAGGGAAGTGAAAGTATGCAGAAAACTAAATATGATAATAGTTAAATTATTATTTTAATTAATTGTTAACTTGCATGTGTATACATTATATTACTTTAAATTTCTGTTTTTTGCCCTGAAAGTAATTTTCTGGTTAAGATCCAACCAAAGAAGCACTTGATTTATGTACAACCAGGGCTAAGAACACCAGGATTAATAATCAGATGATGGACAACATTCCACATCCAACACTACATGATCTATGTGAGGAGCATAGGACTTGACATGTTCAATGTGCCTCACTTGAACATTCCACTCTTGTTTACCATGTGATTTCCTTAAATGAGGCAGTATAGTCTGAGTAACATATTTTGCCCAATCTAGCCACTCTTGCTTTACTTTCTTGTTGCAGGAGGGTATGTGGTTTTGTTTCCAGAATGGTAGGTTAGACTCAACTGAAACTGTTAAGGGCTCAGCAGAGATCATTGACGATTCCAGCTCAGAAGATTTTATCAAAACCATCCTGTTGTTGTGTACATGGCCTTGATTTACTACACATGTTGATGTATTCTCTGAATGACAGTGAATTGATGAAGGTTGTTCTACTCCATTAAAACCACAATTGTCATCAAAAGTACTCTGTAGGCTTGTCATATTGGCTTTCTTGGTTTGACTTACAGACAGACAGGTTTCTCCAGCTAATGACTCTGACAATTTGCTATTTACTATTCCTTTCTGGTCTTTTATACTTGATGTGACATTTCCATGAACATGTAACCACCCTCCTCTATCAGGACGAAGTGCAGCACAAGCCACCAGCCATCCAGCCTCACTAGAGGGGATAAGGCCCAAGTTGACATGGTCTGCTACTCCTCGAAGAGGAAACTATAAATCAAATCACACAAGGAAATCACTTTAAAGTTCTATGCATGTTATCAAATCTTGGGTCACTATTTATTATTCAAGGGAGATGTGGTGTTCAGGATGGTTTACACTCACAATTCTTTCCTTCACAGGTCTGCAAATATATACTTCAAATAGGTCAAGGAATAACATCCAAGATTCTTTTCAATTTTCTGACAGCAACCAAAATTTCAACAACACGAACAGACGTTGCCATCAGAGTCAAGGGATTCATACTACAAAACCAATTTAAAAGCTATTGTTTACCTTCAGATTATCTCCCTCATGAATGACACATTGTTTATCAACACCATTCAATTTCAAGTTTCTTCTCAAAGCCTCTACAGCATTTTCATTCCACTCACAAGCATGAACCATGGCTGCTTTAGCATGAACAAGATAGGGCAGGACAAAATAACCAATTCCAGCATAAAGATCAACAACAGTTTGACCAGAACAGTCAAAATTTCCAACTCGGATCTTTTCTGTAATATTTCCTGAAGAGAACATGCACTTTGTGACATCAAAGGTGTATTTAATGCCATTATCAGTGTGAGTCACCCATCCATTCTCACCCAGAAGCATAGTGACTTTGGGGGTTCTGAAACCATCCCTACATATAGCTGATTTCTTGGCAAGTCTTGTGACACCAAGACTTTTTGCAACAGTTCTCCATAATTCACCATCAAAGTCTCTCCATTTTTCTGAAGTGAAACTGTTCTCTGGTAATAGAATAAGGTCTCCATGCTGCTCCCAATGTGATGGTATATCATCTGGTAACAACCCATCAAATGTTCTACCATTCATGTATAATAAATTGTCTAAAGCAATCTTCAACTTCTCTTGAGGAGACAATCTACCCAGTCTTACAATCAATTTATCAGCATCTATGCATTCAACCCTCCCCTCAAATGGAACAAGCCAAGATGTATCACTTTTTCCTGACTGTTCATTGAGTTTTTCAGCCGGCTCTTGTTGTAAAGGAATCATCACTTCATTTGTGGAGGACTTTGTCACTTTCCTCTCTTTATCATACAGTCCTCTGTCTTCAAAATACTTCCTGAGAGAAAAGAAATGACTTATTGTTAAGAATATCACGATGAGTTACCTCTAGTCTGCAATTAATCTGACCAATATCATGATATATCATCCATAATGCTTGCATTTCAATTTTTTTCTCCTAAATCTATGAAGATAAGGTGACTTAAATTTTAAGATGAAAGAGTTCTCAACTTAAATTTAATTGAAAAAAATTATCTCGACAAAAGAAATAACGATTTAAGAGTGCTCTGAAAATTCTACCTTTTTCTTATGAGAATACCTGTAATACTCTCTCAAAACAGTGAATTTACAAGCTGAAAAAAAAGTTTAGGAGGCTAAGGTGACGGGTAACAGTAAGTTCTTACAACCACTACGAAAACATGCGGCACTTACCTTGCTTTTTGGCCATTGACTTTAGACGTCACAAAAACCCAGGACATTTCAAACTGGTGCCGTTACAAATTTCTAATAAATCCTAAAGACCTCGACGAATATGCGGTGAAAAAACGATCAACCTCATCGTCAAGTTTTGAGGCCGCCATGTTGACTATTTTTGGACTGGACTGGACGCTAGTGAGATGCGTTACTATCAGTCAGCGAGATACTCCATTAGTTCCAGTGTAACTCCTACGGAAAAATTGAACATGGCGGAGTCGAACCCTATTCTCGTGGGGCTTTTCAGTGCAATTTCAGTCGGTCTTTTCGGGATCATTTTCCTCGTGTACAAGTTAAGAATCTTGCATAGGTACATTTACAAGGTAAAAAAATTTTCTTTGTCTTCTTTAGTGTAAAGGTAAAAATCTTTTGATCAGCTAGATGTATACGTCACATGACTGCTAAACTGATTTGCAATCGTTTTTCAATACTTTCAAAAATTTGGATTTGTGAGTTAGAAATTCTTATGCTGAGTTTTAAGAAGATCCTTCTGCCTCTGAGGTGTTACGATCTCCGCACAGCCCCATTCTTTATCATGGATACAGTTCTTGGATATAGAAAACAATGTAGATTGCCTCTGACACTTCGATTTCGTTCCAAAATAGTGTGGGGCTGTGCAAAAATCTTAACCTTGAGTCTCTTAAAAGAGTTATCACATATGCCTAGACATGTGTATATCTAGATAAGAAAGAATGATCCTGAAATCATTCATGAAATTTCTGCGTTTCTTTTCCTCATTCCAAATTGGGGGGGGGGGGGGGGGGGGGGGACGGGGGGGGGGGTTACTCTTGAAAACGAGAAGTTGTACATATTCCAACTTTTTTTTAATCAAATTTATTTCAACAAGAAACTGAGGCATTTAAAACCAGGAACTGGGTCCTTAAATAAAAGTAAGAGATCAAGCTTGGAGAACGTGTGCAGGGCACTGCTCACAGGATTGCAATAGCATTTACCCAATATAGTTTTTCCTAAATGAGAGTCAATAATAGACTTTGGGCTCAAACCATTTGAAGCTGTTTACATTGATTATACATTCTCTATTGTTCTGAGGGCTTCTTAAAATGTTTATGATAAGTAGCATCATCATTGTCATTGTTATTATGCAAAATCAGATCAATCCTTGCACTCAAAAGATCTCAATATAAATATCAAATCTACTTACTGTCTCTGATACAATTTATATGAATTTATTTTTATCAAACAATATGTGACCCTCTATGGGAAAACAGACACTAACGCTTTTCCATTTAAACTGCGAAACCGTTTACTATCCATTTAAACAGTTCATGAAAATGTTTTTGCTTTGAGATAACTATCCGTTGTCGCTTGGAAAGTTTTTCTGCAAAAGATCTCAACTCAACCACAACCGTTTAATATTAATTTTTAGCACTCTGTTTGCTGATTTTGGTCAGCCATTTCTCAGTGTAAGCCATCTGTTTTTGGGCTTTGGTCAACTGTTTTACGTTTCGAGCTAACCATTTTTATTTTTGGTAAACCATTTAACAGTTTGAGCTATCTGTTTTTTGGACTTTGGTAAACTGTTTAACATTTTGTGCTATTGGTTTTTATTTTTGGTCAACTGTCAGCGGTTATGGAAACTGTTTAAATGCTTGAGTTAGCTGTTTAGTATCCATTTAAAACTGTTTTTCTAGACTGTTTAATGGAAAAGCGTTAGTGTCTGTTTACCCATGGAGGGTCACATATTCCCAAAGGCCCAGTTTAGATGCCAAACTTCAGCTGAGCTGAATCAAACTCAACAAATTAAGTTCATGTGAAGCATGTTGTCTGAATCAATTCAGAATGGCTGATTTAATTTAGATTGGCTCAGTCAATTAATCCTGGTTTAAGACGGTTTGCATTCTTCTTCTTCTTCCTATTCTTTTTGCACTGTTTTCCAGCATTTTGAACAGGTGAGAGGCTCTTGCTCGCAGATTGCTGCTGCAATCCATGACATCTGCCATGTTTACAATTGTTTGCAAAACCAATGACTGACTATTAATTTTCTTCAATTAATTAATTTTGGCTGAGTGAAGTTCAGTGTTTGAATCAATTCAGCCAGGATTAACTGATGTAGGCCAGCCTATTGCAGAATTTGATTTGGCGCAGCTGAAGTACAGCGTCTGAACCAGGCCTAATTAATTATTTTTTCTTCCATTCACCTTTCTTCAAGATGAAGTCTTTATGTTGTGAGGTAGATTACTTTTTGGTTTCTCCAGGTTACTGATCACCATATAAGCTTGAAATTTACTTGACTATACTTTATGCATGACAAATTAAGATATTCCTTTATATACAGTTGCAGTACTGATCACTTCTGTTGTACTCTATGTAGCTGGATGAAAACAGTAATAGACATGGTGGAGAATTAGTTGGTGAAGTTCTAAAGGTAAGTGATGATTATTATAGTAGGTTATGATGATCACAAGCCCTGGTGATGTTGTACATCCCAACTACCAGGGTTCATACATGCTGATTTGTAAAAAAGTCAACTTTTAAGATCCTAAGAAGAAAAGGTGACAAAAATGCAGACACTTTGGGCAAGGGTTATACAAAGATTGCAAGCAGTCTCTCCTGTTTGGCAAAATCTGTTAGGGATTCCAAAAAAAGGAGTTGAAAAAAGTCAGCAAAAAAAAGCAAAACAGCAAAAAATAATAGTTAGTGTGCTGCGTGGAACTCATGCTAGCATCAATTTTTTTTGTTCACTGATTTTTTTTATTTGCATGAAGAACAAGATGTAGTCTTGGGTTACAGTTTGAATTTTTCTTTTTTATCTTTTTTGCATAGTGAAGTTGTAGGGTATGTAATACTTAGGCTGGCATAAAATAACCTGTGGTGATACACAGACATAAATCTATAACCTGGACATCACTTTTGAAAGTTCATATCTGAGGTTGAAGGAAAAAGGACTTCTTTGTATTACAACAAAATAGTTTATTGGATTTGATAACTGAATTGATTGATAACTTATTTGATACTTTCAAAGTCATTTATAACAGCTTTAGTTACCTGTAGATGAGTTGAAAAATCTATTCACTCACAGTTAGTTGATTATGTTCTGCTAACAAGATGCATTGTTCAGGATAAATGTGTAATTTGTCATCTTTTTTGACAGGCTCATGGTGTCAAATATGTTTTTACACTCTGTGGTGGCCACATCTCGCCAATTTTAGTCTCATGTCAAAATCTAGGAATCCGTGTTGTTGACACACGGCATGAGGTAGGGTGGTTAAATGGTCATATTTTTGCTTGGAACAATCAGTGACAGATTACATGACATAAGGAATTCTAGCTGGTCTACCATGAAATATGATGCTATGACAGCCCTCAAAATCAAGGAATGTTTAATTAACACCAAGTAACACTTTTAATTTGCCTTCCTTTTGTGATCAGGTGACAGCTGTGTTTGCAGCAGATGCAGTTGCCAGGTTATCAGGAGTTGTTGGTGTGGCTGCTGTTACTGCTGGTCCAGGTAAGTGTAGACTTTGTTTATCCCATTATTGTTGAAATTTTTTCTGTAAATTTTTTTTTTCTTTAAAATTGGAAAGTGAAATCTGTAGAAACAAAATGGAGTGCTAGATGTCTCTTCTCTTTCTATCTTGGATCCTTCTCACTCTCTCTTCAATCAAAGGGTATTTTCCATGCCTTTTGAACAAAGACCAGACATAGCCGATATTTCAGTCCAAAGGTATGTTTTGGCAAATGGATTATTTTATATCTATTTATTGTTATCATATCAGGTCTAACAAATACAGTGACAGCTGTGAAGAATGCTCAAATGGCAGAGTCTCCTGTGCTGTTGTTAGGTGGAGCTGCTGCTACACTTCTAAAGGTCTGTATTTTGTTTGAAATGATTACTTTAGATTTCTCTTTTGTGTAAGAGGGCTTTATAATAGGCTCATCTTGTCAGAATTTATTACTGTTTCTGTCGTTAGCCTGAAGTGACCAGGGATATTTGTTACACCCTCGCCTGGAAGGAATAGCAGTCACCTAGCTACCTCCTAAAATTTGGTGAATGACTGTCTTGTTTGAGAGAGAGCTTATATGACAGAGGGCTCATCTTGTCAGGGTTTATCTCTCAGTTTCAGCAGCCTGAATAGACGAGGAATATTAAAAACCCCCCTCCAAATCAGGGTTGCAGTCACATGATTACCCTCTAGGTACTTGTTCATACTTCTTGTTTTCTAGAAGGTTAAAAATTCTCAGTTCTTATAAAGGATTTAGTTAATTTGCTTCTAATTTGGTTCTTTATAGTAGTCTATTAATAATTATCATCGCTTCTTCTTATTGAATTATTTCTTTTAGGGACGTGGAGCTCTACAGGACATTGATCAGATGAGTTTGTTCAAGTCTTTGTGCAAGTACTGTGCTACAGTTACAAGGTAATTGATTGCAAATATATGATTTTTATTTATATACAGTCATTTATTCATCACCTCAGGTGTTTATTACAAACCAACATAATGACCAGCTCCTAACTGGCTTGTCAGCGTAGTTGGTAGAGCACTGCACCAGTATTGCAGAGGTCATGGGTTCAAATCCCGTACAGACCTGAATTTTTTTCAAGCCTTATTTTAACTACTGTTTAAGTAGTGTAAGATATTCTTCTTTAGCCCAGACAAAGGAGGATAGATATCCTTGGCTATTTGTGCAAACTAGTCTCACATGTAGCTCTGGCCAGATAGGTTATTAAGCTCATAATTCCCTGCTTTTCATTTTTGATATCACTAATTGAAATGTCTGCAATAATTTTTGCCTATAGGGTAGCAGACATTGTTCCAATTCTACAAAAAGCCATTCAGATTGCACAGTCTGGAACACCTGGTAAATTCTGCTAGTGAGAAAGACTATTTATCCTGATTATAGTGAACAGCTGAAAGCAGTTTCTCTAAATATGAAAAAATTCCAGTTTATGTGAACTTTTGGCTGCATCTAAGTGTATGAACAAGGTTAGGGTTAGAGATGTTCTGGATGTTCTGTATCCTTGGTGTGGTTTTGCAAACCATTTTAGATTACCTTTCTAGTCACCAGGTCAAAGTACGGTTTTCAGTTGAACCTCATTTGTTCCTAGTACTTTAAGATATCCTTGGTCATTTTGAAACTCATTT